AAAAATACCTGTACACTGTAAAAAAAATAATCACTATAATGGAGGAGGTAATTACTTTCCTATTCTTACGACGAAGCAGTAATAAGTAATATCATGTCACAAAAAAAAAAAAAAACTCCCCAATCAAGTTGTTTTTGTCAAGAGTTCCCCGCCCCCACCCCAAAAAGTCACGTAAGGTTTTAATTTCCGCTGAGGAATGGGTTCAGATTTTTAAGGTTCTAGTTATTTTTCGCTTGGAAAGATTGAAAACATTCTTCTTTTATTAAAAAGCTAATTCCCATGTCCCTGACAAATCACGCTTAAAGGACCTGGACAGGTGATTCTGTTTCTTACAGAGTATATATTGGGAAAACGATAATTAGGAACTTCATAAAAATATTAATGACAATTATAAGTTTTGAATCATTGAAATTTCAATAATAAATTATAATTTTTATTAGCAATAGATTACCTCTTGCTGATTGGCTTAAGATTTACGACGAGCTTTAATAAATTCTCAACTAATATTAAAAAAATTTTTAGCTATCTTTTCTTGATTTTTCAAACAATACCAAGAAATTACAAGTGATTAGTTTGTGATTTATAACTAACTCTCATAAATTATCAATTAATATTACAAACAATTTAAAGTCTATTTATTGTTTAGTAGATTTTTTAAATAATTTATTTATCTATTGAAAGCAAAAAAAATTATAAATAATTGATTTATAATTCACAACTAATTCTCATAAATGTTCAACTAACAATACAAATAATTTCAATTATATTTACGTAATTTTCTAAATGGTTTATCTGTATATTGATAATAAAAAATTTAGATTCATAACTAACTCTCATAACTTCTCAATTAACGTTATAAATAATCTTAAGTGTACTCGATAAACTTATCAACTGACTATTCATATTTTTTAATTGCAAGTAAGGATCATGGTTTAATATTGAGGTTTTAATAATTTAAGGTCTATAATTATCATGAATGTTATCATGGGTTCCTAGTTGTCATTTTCCCAAGTATATTTGGACTTTACTAGACCTAAATCTTGTTTGTTGATTGCACCTGAGAAAATAGTAGAAAAATCCCAAACTTATGCATTCGTTGCCTCCATAAGTGCACGCGCCTTTTAATGATTTTATATTTGATAACTAAACAAACTCTATGCTCCATAGTAAATAGTCCTTCTATTAAAAAAATATTTTTTTAAGTAAGATATTAAAAAATATAGAGAGAATCTCACTTAAGACTCATGGAGCATAAAAATTTATATTTAGAACCCAATATAATATGAAAACTCTTTCCAGGCCCAAGGGCCTTAAGTGAAAGTATATTTTAACAAGAAAAAAATGCATTGTCCCTCCATTTTTTCATGAATATACAACACCATGTGCATAAAACTCTCAGCACAATATTCTATAATGTACAATTGATCAAGTGAAAGTGGTTTAATTTAAAATGTACAAGTTGCGCAGGATGAAAGAATAATAAATGTCCATAAATATATAACACAATATCTATAAAATTTAAGTACAATGTTTTGTAATGTATGGTTGGCATAGTAAAAATAGTTTAACTTAAAATGTATAAGTTATGCATGATGAGAAAATAACAGAATGTTGATAAATGTACAACACAATATTTTGCAATTGATAGCAAGATGTCCAAGGGCAAATATTGTTACTCAAGGCTCCTGACCTTGTAAAGAGTTTTTAGATTGTATTTGATACTAGCTATAAAATTTTGTGCTATGGGAGCCTTGATTGAGATTCTCCTAAAAATATGAGACATTTTGAGATTTTCAATATGCAATTAATAAGTTTTTTCTTTAAAAATATCCTTAATTAGAGGTGTAATTAATAATTTTTTAATTAAGACATCCTATTAAATGAAAATAAACACGGAGTGTGTATATAAATTTAAAGATAATTAGTTAACTCGTTGATAGTTGTGATTTAATTAAAAATGTTTTACTACATGCGCTATTAAATTAAAGGACTCAGCTTAAATTCATCACACAAGTTCGGGATACACATGAGGCAATGTAATTATGCCTAATTAGGATAATCACATTATTATATAACTAAATTTTGATTGATTTGATGATTGAGAGTTTGAGACCCCATTATCCATACTGTTTTAGTTTAAAAACATTTTTAAAATCATATTTCTAGCCAGCTCCTAAAGATAGAAAACATTGAGGAGACACGTTTCACCGTAAGTTGAACCACAATCATACTATAAAGATAATAAATAATAATAGATATAAAAGCAGCTGCAAATCCAGGCTTTTCCATTGTAAAATCGTTCTGATTTCCTTCTTTGGTTATCGATCAGAAAAGCTAATCATTGGTGACATTTGTTTATTTTGAGATAATGATAAGCCGCAACAGGCATGTGCTCATACCACACATACCTGTGTTATCTACGAACAAATACAACGCATAAAAACTCAAATTGAACAAATTTCATGGCCTAAAATTGTACAGTGTGAAGACTTTCAAACCTAATCCATTTTTTTAACTCTTAAAAAAATTAATCGCTTTTAGTAATATATACAGAACGATAACTCATTCACACCGGAATCATTTTATTGACAATAATTATAGAAGGCACGGAGTCTCATCAATCGTTACCAAGTTGTCATTGAAAAATTAGGAATGACCTTACTTATTTACAAATAAAATGTTGGCAGCTAATAATTAATTATAATATATATAATAGTAATAAAATTCGAATTTCAGGTATTAGGATTGCATGGGCCTCATTAGAAATATTATTGTGATTTGTCATAACTTTAAATTCTTTCAGAACTGCTTAGAATGTACTTCCTCCATTGTAAATTATATGACATTTTTGAAGAAGTATAAGACACTTTGAGTAGATTAAGACTCTTTAAATGTATCATTTCTAATATTACATTTTTTCTATAATTAATTTATATCACTTTTTTTAATAAATTAAATTATAGGTATTTTTGAAAGCTTATATTTTTTTAAAAAAAGATAAAATTGTTAGACATATTTAATGAGATTTATTAATATATAAAATTTTATTTAAAAATATCTTATAATTTAAAACCGACAGAATATAAAACAATATTTACTTAATAACTTTTCTTTTGGTCAATGTTCGCTACTCCCCCCCCCCCCCCCCCCCCGCGCCAAATGAAGCGGGGCTCTTAGAAGCAAATTTGAGTGGCATGGTGCTTGGCAGTGATGGTAAACCTATTGTTTGTGAGCACGTAGAACGACAATCGTCAATGTACAGCAGCACCTTTTTTTAGTCAAGGTTAAAAACCCAGACAATTTGTCATCAAATGCAATCATTAAAAATATATATTCATAATCCATCTGAAGGTTAAATTGAAATATAGTTATATTAACCCAAAAAAAAAAAAAAACCAAAGACTCGTTACGCTAGCCAGTATTGAATTGAACATCTCATCATGTTAAGAAAGTGAACAACTGTAGCGTTTAGATCGGCTGAGTGCATTTGACAGTGATAAGAATAAAGGAAAATGAAGTTTATGGAGAGATACAGATAATTTATGTCTGAAAGAGATTTTGATGAAGTAAATTAGGAATATATGAATAATTAATAAATGAAAAGTATTATATATGTCAGCTGTGATGAGAATATAGCCGTAATTTAATTAGGATAGAGTATTTAAAAAAAAAATTTTACATTTACGGCAACATATATACGTTTATAGAAGTATCATTTTTTTGGGCCAGAATAAAAGCATATATACTGAATTAATGATTTAACATATGAAATAATATTTTATTATAAATTAAACTAGTCCTCTAAAAATTTCATTATCCATACAGAAAAAAAAAAATTCTATCTCATTTGGGCCATCATGCAATTATAAAAAAACGATGGGTTTGCCCACTCCTCCCTTCTCCAAAATTCAATATCAGTATTTTCTTTCTACCTATCAGTATCAATATTTTTATTAACATCAATTCAACATAACATATAAACATTAATATGCAATAGTATATACTAACATTCATCCAAAATATAAACAAAATTTATAGAAAGATATATTGTGCGTTGTTCATAGATTGATTTACCCTCGGACCTATTCAATAGGAAAAATTATTATTAGCCATTAAATCATAAAATAGTTGTACTCAATAAATATGCTACAAATGTAAATTTCTTGCAAAAGATACCCTCATTTAATAAATGACCGACAGCTTTTAAAAATTAATCTTATTAATTAATATATATTTCTTCTATCCTAAATTATAAAACACATTTGAAGTCACAAAATATAAAATTCTTTAATAAAAATAAAGTTTTACTAATGATATTTTTTAATATTATTCTTCTCATATATTCTCTCTCTTTAATATTTTTAAACAAATGAAGTATTAAATTAATGAATGGAAAATTTTTATTTTTAAAAAATAAGGTTATATAATGTACTTAATGAATTTTATTAGTATGTATAATTTTGTTCAAAATTATTTTATAATTTGATATGAAGGTAGTATTTTTTTAATGAGAAAAAAAAATTAAACTTAAGTAAATATTTCAGGCCAGGAATTGTTAATTTTTTTTTATAAATAGGATCATGAGAATTCTAATAAAATTATATCATAAAAAGTACGGGAGGCAGTATTTGTTTATTTATTTTTTTTGAGCTGACTATTTATTCAATACTGAAGGATAAAAAAAAAATTCTCAGTTACGGGGCGGAAGGATGCAGGGGGTCAACACTTGAGCTTTCGATAAGGAGACGAACGGAACGTCCAGTGCTCATTACTGCAACTTTGCGTCTATTTATCACGATCTCGATTCCTTGACCCAAAAAAAAAAAAAATTACGATCTCGATTAGAGATGAGCAGCATTGGGCCAATCAGAAACGATCTTTCAATTCATAATCCAATCACATACGACTTTAAAAATAAATGGAAATAGTAATTATTTTTAATTGAATTTTGAGAATTAAGATGTCTTTTTTAAAACCCCTAGCCGTCCAGAATAGGCACCTCAAATTGCTCTCCTTGTCTGCCTCCTCCTTTAGAGAAACATCTCTATCAGAGCACTCACAAAACACCAATCCCCCACACTTTCAACCTCACAAAGAATCCCATAACAACAATTACAGTGCTCGTCTCACCTTCTTCTTCATCATCAACATAAGCGACCGAATTAATGACCCCAATCCTCTTCCTCCTTCTCCTTCTCTCACTATTTCATCTCACCCCTTTCTCCTGACCCTCCTGTCCGGTCTGTTTCTCTGGCTCACCACAAACTAAGCCTCTCGCAACCCTAAAAGCTTCAGACGTAGAACCATGTCTTTGGACGACTCTCTAAGATCTCTATCCATGGACTATCTTAACCTGCTCATCAACGGTCAAGCCTTCAGCGACGTCACTTTCAGCGTGGAGGGTCGACTGGTTCACGCCCACCGCTGCATCCTGGCGGCTCGAAGCCTCTTCTTCAGGAAATTCTTCTGCGGCCCAGACCCACCGTCTGGTCTGGACCCTGCCTCAGGCTCGCGGGTCAACTCCGCTAACTCTACATCGAGGCCCGGGGTCATTCCGGTGAACTCGGTGGGCTATGAAGTGTTTCTGCTTCTGCTTCAGTTCTTGTACAGTGGCCAAGTCTCTATTGTGCCTCAGAAGCACGAGCCCAGGCCTAATTGCGGCGAAAGGGGTTGTTGGCACACGCATTGCACCTCCGCCGTTGATCTCGCCCTTGATACTCTCGCTGCCGCTAGATCTTTTGGCGTTGAGCAGCTCGCATTGCTCACTCAGGTTTTTGTTTTTCCTCTGCTTGCTTCTGTCATCTCCATCTTTGAATAGTATGACCCCTCTAGTCTTACTGGTGTGTCTTGTGGGTCTTGGAAATTCGGGCAATTTCTGATTACTGATGGGGTCTGGCTTTCGTGAAGCGGAAGGGGTTATTCTTGAGTTCCTATACTCTATTTTACTCTTTAGTATTTCTTAGTAATTGCTATTATCTTATGGTGAATCGGGCGAGATTTGTTTTCCAATCATCCCATATGCAGTATAACAGTGATTGATTAATTTACGATTTGACTCTTATTCCTCCTATTTTTGTTTCCACTTGCTTCTCAGGAATTGAGTGAATAATGGGTGAATGCATCTATCTCCATCTCTCATTTTGCTCCTCCTTAGTCCCTTCCATTCCATGTCAACAATTCTGTCCTTTTGTCTCTTCACATCACACACACAGATTTTTGCTCTTCTCTTCCGAGCATCGATTTTTTGTTTTTTGGGTTACTTCTGGGTAGATGTGACACTTCCTTGATTTTACGTACCATGTATGGTTTTTCCAGCATTGGAATACATCTCCCAGAGTTACTAAATTCAGGTGAATCATCGAGTCTTGGCTTCCACTGTTTGCGCGCCCTATCTTTCTCAAACATGTTCACTTACCTCATTTGGGGTTCGGAATGGAAAAGTGAACAACCCCGCGATATGAAAAACTTCGTCCGAAAACGTAAATTTAGCAGACAACCTATCCACTTTGTTTCTCTTCAATCAATTCGTAGACTTGTCTTACACTACGTGTACAACTTATTTCTCCGAACTTTGAAATTCCCCTAATTAATCACTCCTCTTTTTTTTTTTTTTGTTCGCAGAAACAATTAGCCAGCATGGTAGAGAAGGCCTCCATTGAAGACGTGATGAAAGTGCTCCTAGCTTCAAGAAAGCAAGACATGCACCAACTCTGGACCACTTGTTCACATCTCGTTGCCAAGTCCGGTCTCCCTCCTGATGTGCTCGCCAAACACCTTCCCCTCGATGTTGTTGCTAAAATCGAAGAGCTCCGTGTCAAAACCTCCCTCGTCCGCCGCTCCCTAGTCCTCCACCACCACCCTCACCACCATCACGACCATATCAGCGCCACCGCGGATCTTGAGGACCAGAAAATCCGCAGAATGAGAAGGGCGCTTGACTCCTCCGACGTCGAACTCGTGAAGCTCATGGTCATGGGAGAAGGCTTAAATCTAGATGAAGCACTGGCCTTGCACTACGCCGTAGAGAATTGCAGCCGGGAAGTCGTCAAGGCCTTGTTGGAGCTGGGTGCAGCCGACGTCAACTACCCCGCAGGACCCGCCGGCAAGACCCCACTTCACCTTGCGGCCGAGATGGTGTCACCGGACATGGTGGCGGTCCTCCTTGACCACCACGCCGACCCGAACGTCCGGACCGTAGAAGGGGTGACTCCTCTTGACATCCTGAGAACCCTAACTTCTGATTTTCTGTTCAAAGGAGCCGTCCCTGGGCTTGCCCATATTGAGCCAAACAAATTGAGGCTGTGCTTGGAGCTGGTTCAATCCGCAGCTCTCGTACTGTCGCGCGAGGAAGGCAACGTGAATCCTCCTTCTTCAACGGCCATTTATCCCCCAATGAACGAAGACCATAACAGCAGTAGTAGCAACAGCAATATTGCGAACCTTAATCTGGACACCAGGTTGGTTTACCTGAATCTGGGAGCGACGTCGTCGTCGGGGCAAATGGGTTCCAGATTGGAGGGCGACAAGGATAGCAGCCACAATAGCCAGAACCGTCATAGCTCGCAAGGTGGATCATGCGACCCAGCAATGTACCACCAACCTCATGACTATAATTAAGCTCAGATAAATCACTACTGATACATATAAAAGATATATATATATATATATATGAAATTGCACATGGATGATTAATTGAAAGGAGACAAGTAGGAGGAGGTTGGCTTATATGGATAACGAGCGCTACTATTCTGGATGGATATTGGCGATATAAATTTCTTTCTTTTTTTTTTGAAAAAATTGTCACTTGAAAATAGTTTTAGTAAACGCGCACGTAGATGACTGGTCTTTTGCTTTTGCTTTCATGGATCCGTGGTTCGTTTGGGCGTATGTTTTGGTGTTTTTTGTAGGAGGCATTTCAAGGGTCACCATTGGAAGTGGCGTTTCATAGGAGATCGATATGGGATGAGAGTCAGAGGCACGGAGAATCTGATCAGTTTTTGCTGTAAGAGAAAAAAGGGTGCGCATGAGGGGGACGCAGGTCAATCTTTTCAAACCTCTCTCCTCTCGCCTGTCAACTCCTTCATTTGTATTCACTACTCATCTCTTAACTAATATTACGGCCTTATTTATTGTTTCCTTTTAATTATTTCTTCTCGGACCCACCCTTCTCATTAATTAATTAATTACCCTTTTATTATTTACATGAAATAGCCAACCTACATTTTGGGATGTCTGTGTTAACGTTATTTTTGCACTTTTTTTTTAATTTTGGTTTTATTTACAAGGGCTTCCTCGAATATGGTTACTTTTCACACATAGTCCATTACTATAATCAACCATGAGTAGCTAGCTGTCCCTTCTGTTCCCACCTAATGTCATGTTTTTCCCCTCTGGCATTGTGTAGGCCTTTGGAGAAATTCAATGGCTTTGAAGTGATTATTTTAATGCAAATAATGTCGCCGAGGGCAAATTGATTGGGTTTCTCACACTATTTGCAACACTGAGTGTGACTACACAATAGCTGGCTACTTGATCATTTTGGCACTTTCTCCTTCGAAGCAATCCCCTTTTTGTCCACTGGCATTTCCTTTTTAAGCCTTTTAGGCCCTCTTCCAAAAAATAAAAGGCAGCTAAAAGCATATAATTACATCATGTTGCTCGATCATTTCTTTATTACTTTTTGTTGCGTCTAATATCATTGGATGATGTCAGTCATTAAAGACTATTGCATTCACTCTATTTTGCTGTGTGTACGTTTACATATGTTCCTCATGAATTTTACAGCACAGATTAACTGTGGAAGTAGTCTTGTTCATCGACGATCGATTTTTCTCCGTATTCACCCCTCCCCGATTCGGTCCTCAAACTCATTTTTTTCCTTTAAAATTCTACAAACGTATTCATGTACACTGAATATTTGTTTCCTCACTTGTTCTCCATTCAGTTTTACGATAAATATTGCATATCAGATCAGTGCCCCCCTGGTTTTTTTTTTTTTGGTGTAAACAGAAAACTTTCATTCAACGAATGAGTAAAAAATAATTACAATAAGATCCCCAAGGACCCAACAATTAGCTCCGGTGATTCACCGCCTCCAAATCAAAGGTGGGGAACTCTATTCTTCGTCTATAACTATTATATATAATCTGCAGTGACATTTTTTGTAGGCGTTTTATCTGGTAAAACCGACTTAGAGACATAAATAGCAAACTAGCTAAAGAACTTGACCCCGAGGTTCATAGTTGTTGGTTGCATAACTAGCAGGCATTAACAACGTTGACAACTGTTCCTGGTCAATGGGATCTGAAACACACACAGACACATCAATTGATGATCTGAGTTTTAGGAGCAACCCTAGGAGTGGCGAGATGGTGAAACTTATCAATAATGGAAAGCGCATCTATTGTAGCCCTTTCTTCCAAAGGCTTGTCTCTTTCACACTCTTTTTTAAACTGGCTATTGCTGATATAGTTGTGGAATATTTATACTCTGGTCTTGCATATACTTGATTAGAAACTTGACCTATATTCCATGAGAGGGACTTCCTATTATCCATTATGGATTCTATATAGTCATGATTCTTTCTAGAGACCTGCTGTGCATTATACATTTTCTTCCATGATTAAGGATAGGTACAGATGATCAATAATGGATACATTGGTCAATATTGCCATTCATGGAAGTTTCTTTAGCACACCCCCTTACCTTACCTTGCTAGATCTTTTGGGCATAATTGTACTTTCCTTATAATTTGAGTATCTCTTGTTCCTTGAATGCTCGCAATTATGTGGCTTTCTTTCTTGGCTAGTAGTACAAAATCCCTAAAATGTTTAAGACTCTCATTGGTGATAAATGGTAGCTTTGTCCTTGCTGGTCACCCAAAGTAATAACATATTTTGAAAGCATATATGTAAATGACATAATTTTAGATCCCACTTTTTTACGTTGCCCTTTTTCTTGTCAAAGTTAAAGATGTGGTTCTCCCTCTTCCACACCTTTCTATTCTCCTCTCTTGCAATAATTCTCCATTAATTTAATCTTGCTTGGCCCATGCTGACGTGTAATTGCAAGCAGGCGTTTAGATTTATTGCCCTCTTTAATATGCTTTTATTTCTAGTCCCTGAATTGACGATGTCATTTACTTTCTTTACCATTTACCCCGCCTTTTTTCGGCCAACCATACATATGAAAACTTTATGTTAAAATTCAGTTCACTCAAGTTGGTCTTTGCCTCTATTTAAATCAGTGTTACTGCCAACACATGAAAAAAATAAAATGGAATAAAGCTATTGTGATGTGAGAGATGAAATTTATTATCATCTTTTTCCCCCATTCGGAGGTGTAAGAGATTGTATTTCTGCATTAGGTTCTTTATTAAACACGGTTTAATTCCTCTGTCGTGTTGGGAGTAAATTATAAGCACACCATGTTAATAAATAATAGTAGTATTAATATTACTATTCATATATATATATATATATATATATATATATTTGGGTATGATAGCATTTGTGAATAATTGTACTATCCAGAACTCGACTGCGATTCATGGATAATTAAAACTATGAAGTTTCAAATTGTCTACTGTAATTGCCAATTTGATATTCGTTTTAAAAATCTAACAACAGAATTAGATGTTGAAGATTTTTTATATAAAGGAAACCTTGTTCACTATCAAAACGAGCACATGCATATGCAAAATGAATTTATTTGAATATTCGAAAATCAAACGTCTAGTTATAGCATACATAATGCAAGGATCAAAGAAATGAAAAGTTAACATATATCAGACATCATTCCTGTCAATTTATGCCCTTAGTATAACTATGTTAGCACGCAAATTTGATGTATAGGCTGAACCGGAACTTCAAATGGTTTCTTTTAGATCAAGTTTCCTAGTACACAGTCGACTGATATTACATTTCATTTTTCTTATTTTTTTTCATCAATATGTTTCAGAATTTCAATGGGCCAATTTTTATTTTTTAGGATGCAACTAATTTTCCGTTCCCTTAAAATCAGGCGGTTGTAAATTATAATGATATAAAGGGTTTACTTGTTACATTCGTCTGCATAAAGCTAACAAGTAGACTTTGAGGAGGGAAAAGTGTGACAAAGAAGAAAGGGTGCACAGAAAATTAAAGGAGTTAGACAGAGGAATTGCATGGCCTGTGTGTGTGTGTGTAAACAGTCTCAAACTTTTCATGCAGCAATGCTGTTGTTAATGAGGAAGCATGCATATGTATACATGGAGCTGATGCATGCATAGACAATTAAAATAAAAATCTGATAACAAAATTTACAAATAAAATATGGAGGATTGATCTTATTTTTAAGCTTATCCAAAAAATTTCAATTAATAAGACAATGTGAATCATAATGATATGCATGCATGTACGTACGGACGTACGTACTAATAAAATCAGATTATTGATCAGTATGTGCACTTATGGCCACTGGATCAATCGTTTACTTTTAGCACGTGTCTGTGTGTATATATATATTATGATCATTATTGAAGGCTTCGAGCATATTTATGTATGCGCGACCGCCCAGTAATTAATGAAATGCAAAGTGATTTCTACACTTGGTAGTTTCTGCCTTGTGCACATACAAGCTGTATAAATGAGTGGGAGAATTCATGATAAAACCAAACTGTATTCCTATAGCGTTGTTGATACTTGATGTATGAATTAGTTTTAAAAAAAATCTCTCTTTAATTTGGCTCAACAGCCACACCCATATTAGCTCCGCCGCTTTTCTTCCACTTCCAACCATTATATATATATATATATATATATCCTTTCTCACCTCTCTGATCTCTCTCTCTCTAGTGCATGCCTGGTAGTGCTATTTGTTGTAGCGTGAGCCATGAGACAGAGAGACAAAACAAAACACGTGCAGCTTCAATAATTCAGATAATTGCAAATGAGTAGGAAGAGTCAGACAGCAGACATATTGGCCAATTTAGTCACCAACGTACGTAGCGCTTGACTCATTATATCATTCTATCCCACACACAAACACCCATTTTTGGGTGTATTTATTTAATTATATATGTACATTTTCCCGATCAAAATTCAGCCTATTTCGATAGTTAGCTTTGCTTGCTGCGAACCAATCTCTCAATATATAATAACTTCTCTTTGGCTGCTTCTCTTGCACGACACCCATTAAAAATATATGCAGAATGCATGCATGGGTGCTATAATACAAATAATCAATATCGATCCCAGCATCTATGCACAAATAACAAGTTAAGATTAATTAATATTTAATATCATCACAGTAAGGAGGGGGTTGTGCAGTTGCAGGGAAATCAAAGATGTCCACATAAGTTGGGAACATGATGGGGTCACCCACTTTTGTTTATGCCAATTCGCCAATTCCGATTCCTTGAAACACAGTGGGGACAAGGGGACGCCTCCATCTATATTACGTCTCTTTCATTCTGACCCTTTTGTCAATAACTCTATCATTTGTATCCCCACTTCAACCACTTGCCTGATTCCCAATCTTAGCCGTTTTTTTTTCTTTAAATAAAAATGATCTCAATCTTGAGTCATTTGGAGAATTATATTATATGGAGTGCTTTGCTTTCATTGTTCTTCCGAATTTAAATCAGTGGCAGTTCAGGGACGACAGTAATTAATAACAATTCAAGAAACACCAAGAATGAATTGCTGTAAACTATATACTAAGACAGTTCATGCCCGCTGTTGAATCCAATAATCAAGTGCATGGAAATATTGTCCCTTTTGAAACACGACGTTGCTGTAACTGTAAATTTGCTGAGAAGCATCTCCTCACGTGAATCAGATTAATTTATTACTTTCCTCTCTACTGCGTCATTGCAAAGGCCATTTTTACTTAACTGATGACAAAGATACGCCTGTGGAGGAACATTCACCTACCCTACATTATATATTAGTATTTACGTCAATTTAACAATTTACATTGTTGGTATCTTATATTCATTATGTGATTTTAGGAGATATTATTTATTAAGCCAAATTACTATTTTAAACTTTTTTTTAAAGCTCTCTATCTCTATATAGTTTTTCTATAAAGATGAAAGTCATTTTAAATTCCTATTTTCATAGTAGAATTTTTTATTTATCACCCGAGGGTTTCCTCATATTAAATTCTGCTAATAGTCTTTTATTATTTTACTCCTTTTATTTCTCTATATTTTTTTAACTGTTTCATCTTTTTTTAATTTCACTTATCTTTTGCATGCTTCCCAATAAATAGTAATCCTTTATTTCTATTTATAAGGCCAAAAGACAAAAAAAAATTTGATCATATTTATAAAGCACTTGTCAATTTTTAATGCTTTTTTTTACATTTTTTGTTCTTATTAAATGTTTTAAATAAAATTATTAATAATAAAATTTAAAAATATTTATTAAGAGTAAAGGTGAAAACTTATTAAATTTTAAGACAAAGTCAATGAGTTTTAAAATTTTCCTTTATTTTGGTAAAAAATGCTAGAAGTGGCTCACAAATAGGACCAGAGAGAATATTAAAATTTCATCAAAGACTTGTATAATAATGTTGTTTGAAATTTGTAATTGCACATCATTTAAAACAAAAAAATAAAACAAAACTACCATAATTTTACCTAGCACTTGCCTGTTTTCCACCATTTGAAGCCCACATGCAAAATGGGCTCGGGTAACATCTACAACATGAGAATGCTAGTTGACTCAAACTTGAAGAAAAAATCATTAGATGTCTAAATATGAATAAACTTGAATTGAGGTAGAAAGTCTCGCATCAAATAAATGTAAGTTTAACTTAAATTAAGATGTAATATCTTCTCATTTATCATCACACCTTTGTTCTCTCTCTATACACTCAAATTTTGTCCTCTATCTATTCTCTCCAGTCTTGAGAGGATTTCATACGAGAATTTGTTTAGAAGTCTCAACAAGAGCCTGGACGTGATTTTATGAAAGGGGTAGAGAGTAAGGAAGTACATGGACCCACATAGCCGAGTTTTACTAAAACATGAGCCAGCCATGTCTCCCTGTCAGATAAGTCCTGTCTCAGACACACAGATATCTCACTCACACTGACCTTAAAATGATAAAAGATAATGGAATTTATATAAAAAGGGCAATGATATATATATATATATATATATTTTGTAAAAATGATAACAAAAACTAGTATTGAATAATAATCAAAAAACACTATTTTATGCATTAAAAAAATATTTTATACGACCCAAACGTAGCCGGTCGCCCTAAGAATCAAATCAACTTCGGTCTGCACATACTTGAGTTCTCTGACACCAAGGATAAATATCGACAAAATAATAATATAATCTGGAGTATAAATTATTATCCCAAATATAAATTCATACATTACACTTTTAAAGGCTCGTCGTGGCTAATGATCCATGATGTGAGAAAACTTTGAGCCCACGCGATCACAGTTTCAACTCTGAAATCCTTGTGCAGCTAAACCACCTTGCACACAGAGACCCAGCTCTTTACCCAACTCCAAACAGGGATGCAAAATATATTTAAGTTAATCAGCAAATAAAATGATATTTCCCCTCACTTACATGCAAATCTTTTATAGAACACCACGCTAAAATATCATTTTAATTGAATTCACCTACAGAAAATATATCTCCTGCAAATTACTCAAATTGTGACACATAATGACATAGAAAAGCATCTATAAAGGACACGTAATTGATCCTGATAGGTGATAGGAATTGGACGTGAAGGCATTTGCATAATTGCATTAGAGTTTGCACTGTGAATATGACGTTACGTCCGACTAATCCAAAATATATTCCATTTCTTTCATGAACTGTCTCAAGCTTCACCAATAAGATTCTAACACCATAATTATCATCTAATTCGTCAGAGAGCAAAGTCAATAATGAAAGTGAGAGAATTGTTTAATATTTACAAAAGATGAGGAATATGTTCTTCACAAAAAGTAAATTTCCTTCTGAGTGGGTTTCATACGTAATTGTGTGTAAAACCGTCGCAAACCCAGTGAATAGCGCGGCTATTACACAATTGAATATTGCCATCAAGTCTGCTTTATTCCTCTCTGCCAAGCGAAAGTATCCTGGACTAAAATAATGAGCAAGTGGGTAGCTTTAATTGTGCTTTCTTCGAACTGGAAGAACGTATGGTGGCTTTCTATCTAAATAATTTCATGCCACATGGAACCCTTGTATGGACCAGAAAGAAGCACGATTTACAAGAAAGGCCTAAAAGCCAGATTTGAAGTTGAACTTGGCTTCTGAAAATTCATAAAAAAAAAAAAAAGAAGGATAAGAATAACCATTCCAACTGCTAAGCTATGTTCACATGAACCCAAGTGGAATGATTAGCCAGCTGACTTCCAAAAGGCTACTTGTAGAAGGTACTGGGGGTGATAGCCAACCAAAATAGGGAAACGAGGTGTCACATCCTCTTTAGTCTTTATTTCAACATATATGTACTGATAGCTAGAGCAAGATCACCATTCCTGTATCACACAACTTGATACAAACCATTTCAGAGGCACTGCAGTAACTATCTACTTCAATATGCAGAAGCCAGAGACTCAGGCAAACGAGCCTCCGCCAGGTACATAACATCTCTCTCTCTCTCTCTCTCTCTCTCTCTCTCAAACTAAGGTGCACGAACATGGTCTATCTTATTCAAAGATCTAACAGAACTGGCTTTTTCTTTCTCATATGGTTTCAGGATACCCAACTGAAAATACTCCCTCCAGAAGAAAGTTCTTTCATGGAACAAAGAAGAAAGGAGAGAGGGGCTTCATTGAGGGATGGTAAGCTTCTAGACCTAGTAGTTAAAAAATAATACAAATTTCTCCTGTAAGAAGGAAGGGTGGGGGTTGATGAAACCAAGCACAGAGTATGCGTTATAATCAATATAATGAACAGCTATACATTTATTTGTTTCTACTAAAATGAACACAAGCAGAAGTGACTTAAGCAAGTTATCTAGCAAAGTACCAGGATTACCATCTATAGACTCTGGCCTCCAAACTATGTAATTAGCAAACTAAAAAATTTTGTTTTCTGTTGTGACTCTTATGCAGCCTCTTTGCTCTATGCTGCTGTTGGATCTGTGAAGAATGCTGCTGAAACACAATTCTGGCAGAAGCACCATATAAAATAATAATAATAGAAATGCCTCTTCTTTTCCTTTTTTTAGCTCATATTGTTGGCTGATAGAAATTAACTTGGTTGTGAGCACTCATAGATGGTATTGCTACTTCTACCTTACTCTGTAATCTCAATGATGTAATGTCATTATCGTCGTTTGATTTTCTCAGCTACTTGCAGCTCATCACATCCTCTATAAAACTGAATATCTCAATCATTCACCTTCTGCTTTTTCCTTTTGCTAGTGCTCTGGCAAAAACTTTTCTAGCTAGAATAAATCAGAGTTAATTTTTAGTTCACTGGCGTCCATTTAAGTTTTCAAAACGTGCCTTCCATACACTGTAATTTCATAATGAAAAAACTCAACTTTTTTGTTTACCACAGGCAAGGTATGAGTGCAATATGAAACTTTCGAAGGTCTGGCAGGTGTTATAAATAATTCTCCCTTTAAATAAAAGACAAGATTGTCAAGCTACCATGAACCTGCTTTACGGGACATTTAAGAGCATTAACAACTTGTTTAATAACTGCCATGAGAGCAGCTTTTACAACTACTTTCCCTATATTTTTGTCATCACTGCTGTTCTATTTGTAGGACGTGTACTGTTCCTATGGTCCAAAAACTCGTAAACTACTTTCATTTAAATTGCACTTTGAGCATCTTAGTTTTAGCAATATATTCTAAGACTAGGATCATATCAAAGCTAAAATCTGAAATATATATCATTTTAGCCTAAAAACAGTGTTCCACTAAGCCAGATGATAAATGTCAGACATAATGTTCAGAGTCTTAACAATCAAGCAATTTATACAAGTATATTAACAGCATGATTCAATTCATTCATTTCACCTCTTGTTTTGTTTCCTCCTTTCCGTGTGAAGAGTAGCTACTAAATGTATCGAGGCAGCTTCCCCTAATAATCTACATTTCCTTTAACGACTTTTCTTAAAGTTTCTTTGCTCAAGACATCTCAATAAAGTGAAAGAGTGTCTTTTAATAAAATAGTCCTTGATAATAAACCATACATTGTGCATAAAGTTCATGAAAGAGAGGAAAAAGAAAACAAAAGGAATACTTGGAGAAAAGAACTTGCGGCTGAGCACAAACTTAATCACACATTTGAAAAAAGAAAAAGGAATATTAGGACAAGAAAAGATGACAATCAACCTGCCTGAAGTTGTCCTATATGGTATCTGCTACTGGGAAGAGCTTTTCCAGCATATTATTTGAAAGGATCCTGTTGGGATCCAACTCTCTTCTTGCCTTATTAAATGCATCCACAGGAAAACGCTTTCTTAGCCTGGCTTGGAGAGCTGCAAGCTCCTCCTTGTTCTTTGGAACCTAAATAACAAATTATATATGTAAGAATAGAGTAGATATACTTCAAAAATTTCCCTTTAATTTTCCATCTCAAATTATTGGTGATATTAGCTAGATGCACCACTAACCTGAGCTCTTACTTAACATCAAAAAATAAAATTGTTTAATCCTACAACAGCACTTGCCCATAAGCATGGACTCTCCCCTGTGTGTGTGTGTGTGTGTGATGAGAGAAAGAGAGGGGTGGGGGCGATTGCCCTTATGAGAAAACACATCCAAAGATATTCTGAAGAACAAGTTTTATGAGGTAACCAAACATGATTAAAGGTTGAGTAGGGAAAGACAACACTAAGAAAAGTAGTCCCAAATACCATGTGGAAACATTTTCCATAAATTGAGAGCTCGAATAGTTACCTCAATCTTAGCCCAATGTTCATAAGCCGAAAAGTGATCCCACAATTTTGCCTGAGTTAAATGCCTGTAATGAAAGAATTCTTCTGTTATATCCTTCCTCTGGCGAGCATCACTGGTGGGGAGGTACATGATGATACCAACCTGAAACATCATCATATGTAAAATTGACAACAACATTGTATATACAACCATGTCAATCAACTAGCATTTACATGATAAATTAAGGGGGAAAAATAAAACTAAAACGGTCATAAACAAGATTCATAGACAAAAATGAAAAGTAAGATGTAGCCTTAATTCATTTCAAAACTTAGAATTTGAAGTAATGACAGAGAACAAGACAACTGAAAATTAACCACAAATCAAAGGTAGTAAACAGAGTTAAGCTTTCTCCCAATTCCCATGTCTAAATAGTAAATTTTCAGATACTTTTCTTTATAAAAATAAGAGCAATCATGCAGCAAAGTTAGTCAAATAAACAGTCCAAATGTAATTTCAACAAAAAAAGTCCAAATGTAAAGGCTAATGGTCAAAACACGGTAAAGTATCCACCAAAATTAAAGAATATATCTTCCAAACAGAAACCAATGCGTTAGGAATCTTCAGTTATGGAGTTGCCCAGCATAGCAGTGTATGCTTACCCAAGAGAATATATCTTCCTCAGATGAGCTTGAAGCAGGACTCATGATACTTCTACTGCTAGTTGTCCATCGCTGCTCAATTGGAGCAGGTGCAGGTATCTCTTCTTTCTCAATGAGTTGCTTCAGTTCTTCAATGTATTCAAGGTCTTTCATGCTTGGTTTAGATAGTGTTCCAGCAGGGAAGCATGTTTCTGATACCCACTGTTGACCTCCACAATCAAAGCCCAATATCTCATCACTCCATCCTACTCTATATCCCTCTGACTTCCGCCAGAACTCAGCTTCAGCTTGATTGACCTTTATGATGTGGTTTTTGTTGAGTGGATCTAGGGCAAGCAATTTATCTCTTAATTCTGTGAAAGAAAGCTCATTAATATCTTGTTCACCATCATCTGATGATTTAACCCTAGTTTCTTCTCCTCTGCAAACAATTATATAAACTCCTCACCATAAATAGAAAAATCCACAAAAACAGTAAAGCTAATGCACCTAATTACCCAACATATACATGGAATTGACACTCATTTCAGCAAGCTGTTAGCCAACAAACCGATGAAATAAAATCCATTATGCAAGAGCATCACTTCACTGATTGAAGCTCTTTCAAAATACCAACAAATGTACATCTCAAATTGCTCCAATAGCCAGATAAATAAGAAAGAAAAAGATAGTGTTTGACATTCAATACAACTAACAGACACAAAACAGGATGGATTTTCACAGTCCAGCCAACATGGAAAAAATGTTTCTAAGGATATTTTTTATCATGTCCTCAATCCCTCTGATTCTTCCTCTTGATATAAGTCCAAATCATATGAAAATGCCAGCAAATACAAGTTGACAACAAGGAAGAAAGGCCATGAAAAGAAAATAAACATAAATAACCGTAGTTCTAAATCAAAAGAGGAGAACAAGCTAGCTTCTCAGCTTCTACTGGGTTTTACCAAGGAAGTAAAAAATAAAAAACACTCAAACAGGTTATTTCCTTTCACATCAAGCCACATCATTTTACAAGAAATCACCGAGTTATGCTATAAATAGTACTTTAAATGCACCTGTATTTCTTTAGGGACTCCCTATAGAGGTCATGAACATGCTGTATGGCTTCATCTTTAGTGTATTTGGGTTTGAACTTGGGAGGACCTCTCCACTTTGAAATAGGATTGCATCTTACGACCACAACAGAGTCAGTATATGGGATATAAAGGTACTTGACATGCTTGTTGTCACAGAGCCATTTTCTGCAGAGATTATTAAGAGAAAGGGACAATATTACTCTTAGGAGAAAGATCATCAGTCAATCAGGAAAAGGCAACCAAAAGAGAATACATGAAGGTCAATGGAGCAGAAATGAATAAAGTTGAGAACATTCACCAACAGGGGTAGTACAAGATTATCAAAATTCATGATGATGATGATGTAACATACTTGTACATAAGTATTGTTCTGGTTTTAAAATTTCAATACAACCATGTCTAACCTTTTCTTGAACACCTTTCTTTTTCCCAACTTCAACCATGTTCACACTAGAAACCCAAAAACCAGCTTCAAATTTAGTACCTATTCACTAAACCTCCTTTTTGCATCCCCTTTTGTTGACATTTTATACATATTTTGGAGAGAAAAAAACACTGGCATCTAACCATTTCAAGATGGCGTAGTCAAAAAATTTCCATACAAGTTCATCTGAACATTTTAACATAGGATAAACCATGGTATTTGATAACTATGCTAACCATCAAGCATTAGGATGTCCATGCTTACTAATAGAATCAGAATACTAGAGAGAGGGGGACACACTAGAAGCCGCACAACATATATTACCCTTTCATTAAAAAAAAAATTGAAGTAATATATTATCATTATGGCTACTACTAATGTCTTTAATAGACATATTGCACAATTCAATGGAAACAATTTATAAGCAAAATACAAAAATATATCCCCATCATGCAACAAAATTGGTGAAGGAAAACATTCATATGACCAAGACGTTCAGCATGTAAGCTAAGAAATTGAAGCACCAATGAAGAGTATGGTTAATTACTTGTGGTTTTTTCTTATCTCACTCATTGTTGAGATAAATGTGTGCTCCACAAGCTCCTGTCTCTCAACACACTGAAGGGTGACTTCAGCCACAACTCCAAGTCCCCCAAGACCACAACGAGCAAGGTAAAACAGCTCTGGATCTTTCTCTTTCGAAATCTCTACCGTTCCCTTAGCAGGTGTGACTAATTTCATACTAATGACCTGCTCATCTATGGGAGGCAATCTTGCCCCAGTACCATGTGCGCCAACCTAATTACAGTTAAGCTGAAAGTTAGAGTTTATGATTTGTCACCATGACAAAAAGTTCCGCTCGCATGGTTAAATCAAAATGCAGGCAAAATTGTATACTGGGAAAAATTTTAGTTTTCTTATAAAAATACAAAATGCATTGCTTTACCAAGTTTAGTATCATGTAAAACCCAAGGCAAACAAATCCCTTGCAAAATAGTCTGTAATTGCAGCAATACTTTCGTAAGCTGTGAACAATCACTTCAAGTTCAACTGAGAGACAACTCAACCTCGCCGTCAAATGAACATATACCCAAAAAATATCCATCGTAATGAACAAAATCTAAGCAGCTTATGAAACATGAAACAAAAAACCTGAACAATGCCGCCAATCTGCTGTTCCCTAATGGAAGCAAAATTCTGTAGTGTAAGACCATGCTCCTTTAACGCATCAACAAGCTGCTGCACTCTAATGCCTGCCTGCACCTTCACGGTCTTCTTCTGCTGATCCACTTCCAAAATTTTATCCATCAGTGCCAAATTTACCATCCCAGCCCTGGACAAACCAATCCCGTTGGGGGACAGACCCGACCCGACAGGCCGAATTCGAGTCTTATTCTCATGAGCCTCCTTCACAACCTTCTCCAACTGCTCTAGATTCTCTGGCTGGTGAAAATTTCGGGTCTGAACCTCGTGGGTTCCACTCCAATTGGAGACTGTGTGAAGATCTTCGGGCAAAGGAGCGTAGCGAAAGATCTCAGCTTTTTTGTGCTTGGCATTCTCGGGGAAGGGGAAGGAGTAGTAAGTGGCAGCGCCACAGAAGAGAACGAGGGCGGCATAGCCCAGGTACTTACGTAGTTCGGCATCGGAAGAGGATGGAGTGGAAGTGGAAAATTGGCGAACAAAGTTTTGGGAGGTGCTGATGGTGGTTGTGGACGGTAGGCTTCGAACAAGATGAGAATTAGAAGTGGAAGAGCGGAAGTGATGATGAAGCTGACGCTGAAGGGAACGCTTCAGAGCAGATCCTCTCAGCATCATTAGACCCTGTCCTGTGATTTTGTTCCGTGGGTTTTATCAGTGGTTCGAAGTTCTAAACACCTTCGGAGATGGAAGCTGGGGACAGGGTCGATTATATTCCATATTATCCTCGCTCCTCCTCGGCCTTCAAGTTTTAACCGGATATGATGCAACAAAGGAGGATTTCGAGAGTGCTATTTTACGCCCAAAATATTGTTTCTGTTTGGATATTCCAAGCCAAAATTAGTTACCAATCTCAATATTTAAAAAAATGGTACCTTTTTACATGAAAAATTATAATTTTATTAGATTTTAATTTGAAATTAAAAGGACTTAAATATCAAACATTATTTAATATAGTCAAAACTATAAAAATAAAAAATACTAAAAAAATTTATAGAGATTGAAAATAAAACTTAGGAAAACTATGAAGGTCAATAGTTATGTTTTCCCTTTTTGAATCTAAAAAATTTGCTCTTCATATAAAAAAATTATTAATTACATCGAGAATTTAGTAAATGCTTAAAATATAGGATATTTAAAAGAACATTTTATATTTAAAACAGTAGTAGTATTATTTTAAGGCAAAGATAGACATTTTACTTTCATAATCTTGAGCAATAGTTTAAGCTCTCTCTGTTTTTTGAAGTCATCAAAAATTTTACTGAAGCATCAAGGAAACTAAGGGAAAAGAATGGGACAGCAACCTGAAGTCCCCTTCCTCCTGGCTTTGGCCACATCATGGAAGGTCATTGCAGCATCCCGACAACGGTGGAAAGTCTTTGGAGGGGCACTAGGGAGCTGCCTAATGTTTATCTTAGTTTCAGTACTGTTCTACGTCGTTCATTTTTTGAACGAGTATACCATCTTCCAACTCCAGGGATCCAATTCCCGTGAGGTCAAGATCACGGATTTTAATATGCGTAGGATATAAAAAATATCAAAAGACGGAGGCAAAATTTCGTTGAGAACTTCAATTTCAAACAAACAAACAAATGTACGCATGAAGGGAACAGAACAGGCGAATTCCAGTGCAGTAGCCAATTAAAAGTTTTGGGTTCTGATTCCGTTGAGAATTTAAAACTGTTAAAACATTGAAAATTTGTAAAATATTGGCAAATTTCCGAGTGCTTCCCGGGTACCAAATCCAAATTAAAAGTTTTGGATAGCATAGCTAACGAATAGACTCGTACAACAATTCTCTCGAGACAGGAGACATGGTCAAGTACCAAAGTTTAGTACATTAACAGAAACTTCCAGAGCAGGATCTGCAATATGATATGTACAAAGCCGGCATCAGATAATTGAGTCAGGATATGATACTCGTTAAGCATGCTAAGACCCGTAATCCCTTGATGTCCATCTACCCTCGTATTTTCCAAATGAGTATGCTGTTGAGGCAAGCTCATTCATGTGAAAGGGGTCTGGTTCAATGCCATAATCTGTGAGTGGTCTATGCTCCAGGACATCATCATGGCTCTTCACAAATTCAGGTATCTCAACCTGTCCTTTCTTCATGTCATCCCAAAGGTACTGAAGTCGGCTCGCATACTTGATCTTCCAGTATAATCTTGTAAAAAGAATGAAATAATGGAAGCACTTAATATAGAGTTAAAAAAAACTGCCATTAATGACTAGTACCACAACTTCGATTCAATTTCAAACGAATTTCACAGTCACATCATTCAATCAGAATGCACAAGGTAGGCTGCAAATAATAGTCTGTTTCAAATACATACCTTTCTAAATTCACCTTTTATCCAGGAAATAAGCAAATTACTTACCCTCCACTTAAGAACAATCGGCCAAGGGTAGCAATGGCTAGCCTTGAGCGAAGCCCAGGGTGAACGAAATATACAGTTTGAAGCCTATCCTTGATATCACTAGGCGTTTCTTCATAAATCCACCTCAAGATAGTTAGGCCTGGAGAATTATCCTCCTTCTGAACAGTGCTGTGCATATAAACAATGCAAAATGGACCATCTGGTAATTCACTGCATATCTTGTGATAAACATACCTCTTCAGCCGTTCAGCACTCACAACTGTTGCTGTAAATCATTTGAGAGTAGATACCACATGTAATTATCAAAGTCATTAAATAAAAGTAATTCAAAGCGGCTTGTTAAGTATCAACAAAAATTTTATGCTTGGTTTGGATGGGGGGAAAAAGTTGGAGGGAAGTAGAGGGGAAGGAAATTAGGAGGGGAAAATGCCAAAAATGGCAATAAAAAAAATTTACCATTACCATTTTTGGCAGTTTTCCTCTTAATTTTCCTTCCTCTCTAATTTTCTCCTCATCCAAACCAAGGGTTAGTATTTATTTTCTTCCTCTCTCTTTTTTAGTCATATTTTATAATTTTATATGACCTTTAGCAATACAACTCAAGTGCAAGAACAGACCAGAAATCTGCGAGGTGTAACCACAGAACTGGCAAAAAGAAAGGCAGAAAACAGATAAAAGATTGGAGAAGCAATGTTATGACAAAGGTAAATTACCCATACGAGAAGCAACTGATAATTGCACGTAACCAATAGAAGTAAAGACTCGACCAGACTCCAGAAACATCTAATTTAAAATGAAAAACCACGTGAAAGGTAAGGCAATGCATGCATATCGGTGTCAAGATATTTCATAATGCGAATGGTACAGGTTATCACACTGATAACCAATACATTACTTAGAAGCAAAAACTACTAAGGATGTGAAAATGAGTAAACAAGTCCACTCTAACTAATATTTAGGCTCAAGTTTGTATAACAATCTCAGTAAGATTTCATATATTTTACACGGTGTGAGTCGTTGACAATTAAAAGGAACCTTTTTCACTTAACTGGTTTTCATATATTTTCAGATTGTTACAGAATTTTTCATCCTTTTCTTCTATTCACGAAATTGGACAAGATGATGACACTCCACAGGAATTGCTTCCATACACACTTATCCACATCTACTCAGGAGGAGAAAATACGAAGTTCATCCATGACATGGCCACATGAATTATTAGTGTCAAAGAAAGGAAATCATAACTAAGACGATAGTTTCAAGGAAAGCCATTCACTTTTGCAGGAGTTTTATTGAATGGAGAGGAATGAAAGGAAGCTCTCAGTCAAAGAAAGGCGTTTTTCGGCTGGAAAGTAAATCATGGGGGGTTTTCAACAAATTTTTAATATCGTCAAGAGAGTGAATTAAAGAAATTATGCAGGCTATACTAATCGTTACACTATCAGGAAAGAAGACATCTAATTAGGCCCTCATCTTGCAATAAAAAACTAGGAAATGAAAACCAATGCATAAGAATAATAAGAAAACAAAATCTTAGGAGTCAATTGTTTCCGACTAACGACACAGATAAAGTTGACGCCGCGCCAATCTTGAAAAGGCGGCGTAAAAGGAATACAGGGGAGAGGTGAAATTAGAGAAGAATTTAGTACCGGGATAATATTTGCCAACGATACGGAAAATCCGATTTCCACAATTGTCAGAACCTTCGAGACGAAGGAAATGTAAGAGATCAAGATCGGAGAAGTCTTCGTCCGAAGAAAGGTGCTGAGCGCAATCATGCCAGCTCTCTTGTTCTTCATCGTGGTTCTGAGTAGACAAAAAGGGTCGAGCATCAACACCTAAATCTGATGCCAACACTAACACTGAGAATCCATCTGATGAGCTATCCCGACTCATCGCCGCCTTCTCGTACTAACTCCCCCTCGCAATTGCTAGATCCTCACAATTGTTCGCGACTTGGTGTACGGACGATCATCCAAGCATCATCTGATGAGTTTATTTAGTTAAAAAAAACCGGGGAGAAATTGGTTAAAGTGGTTTGCTTTTAACTAATTTTTAATTATTTTTTACCAGATAGGTAATCATATTTTATTTCAGAGTGCATATATTACTTAGAGTTTTTTATATTTTTTTAACTTATTCACAACTTAAAAATTTTTATAATTATTAAGATACTAAAAATAAAATTAGCTATTAATCAGTTAAGAATATTAATTCAAAAATTAATTGTTAAAATCATAATTAAATCAAATCGTGATCAAACTTTTTATAAACAAAATATTTTATTAAATAGATTAAGATACTGGTTTAACATTTTACCATTTGGTCGATTTGTCAACTAAGGGAGTGTTGTGGTAAAAAAATTCATAAATTTTCTTTATTATTTAACTTGTCATGAAAACAAGGAGAAAGAGAGTAAGAAAAGAGAATCACAAAATAAGGAAAACTATGAGGGAAAATGAGGGAGTATATTTTATTCACTTGGATGTCATGTGCTTCATACATGATTGTTATTTATTAGCCTTCAACCATTAAGGCATAACCTTAATGTTACAAATGAATAAATAATGACATAATAGTATGTAACTATCGGAGGTTATGAGGCATTAATTTTAAGAAACTTCTTCTAAATTATTCATTAGAAGGTTATGAGAGATAAAGAATTTTAAGCATTAAGAGTTATGGACATACATTTATATAATCATATAATATTTATAATACTCGCCCTTAAATGTCCGTAATAAATATTACGTTCCAATGAAACCTTATTGAGAAAAACCAAATGGAATAAAAACTTAATGAAGAAAAACATACATAATATATATATATATATATATTGAAATTGCCTCATTAAAAACTTTGTCAGGAAAATCTAGTGGGACAAAATCTTAATTAAAGAAGAAAGAGTATAGTACAATATTTACTCCCTTTAGTAACAACATCACTATTGCTTCTCCTTGTGGCAACACCACTTTTACTCTCCTAATAACAACATCATTCTTTATTATTGTATCTCAATAGAGTATATTATTTTTTGAAATGGATTGTTGTCAATGCCTTGTCAAGTAAATATTCCTTGTAGTTGAACTATTCATGATGCCTTGTAATTATATAATTTTTTTTAAGTATATTCTTCTAACATATCTCTTAGATATGTTAAGCCATCAACATACTCTTCATTTTCCTTATGCAAATGGTTTCATGAAGTTATCATATTGAATATTTATTTCATTAGCCATTTGTGTACTTGTGAGAACTCATTTTTGCCAACAAAATTATAACATATGCAGTATCAAGAAAAAATTTGAATATTATCATAGAACAAATATATGGGACTTCTGAAGCATTAAATTCAATGTATTTTTTAGACAAATTATCACTAAAAAAATTCTAATGATTTTGAAATCATCAAGATGTTGAATAATTTGATTTATGAGTCAGATAAAATACATATTTTTCAATGTAATCCGCTGAATTAATTATATATATGCTCAGATTATTTTAATCCACATAACAAATATTTCTCTCAGTCATGCTTCTATCATCTTGTATCCTTCAAGGATTCTTATGTAAATTTCACTATTTAATTAATTATATGCATATGCTATATATAACAACCAATAAATGCATCGTATTTCAATTTCATATATTGCTAGACTAATGATATATACAAAAAAAAAAAATCTACCACAAGGTAACATATTTGGTCATGATTATTATTAGATCATTGTGAAAATTTTTATTTTCATATAAATATTCATATGTCTCATAATAATTTTATACTTTAAGTGTTTGGACTACATGTCCATGATTTTCATATATTTAAAATAAATATAATTATATTCAAATCACGTCATTTTTCTCTTCTTTTTCTTTGACCAATCATCTTTCTATCTACTTTCCATAACATTTGTGCATAAAATCTTTATTTGGTCATGTGGTATTATTATCAAAATTGTTGTCGATAATTTTATGTTTTTGGTTTTATTTTTGCAATTGAGATATAACCTTTTGAAATTTTTTTATTGCTTTTAAATACCCGAACCTCTTATAAATTTTTCATAATCAATTGTCTTGACCTTCTTTTAGAGTGTCTATCTCTTTAGTATGATCATTTTAAGTATTTGCTCCTCTGTTTCAAGACATTTATATCAAGAACTAATTAACTTTTCATGCTTCAGGCATGTCTTATTTTTTTTAATAATCATTGAAGCATTTCAACTAGAATATGAGATTTAATAATTCTCATTTTAGTCACTAATTTAATTTGACAAATATTTTAAAATATTTTATAAATGTACTTGATGAACTTATGGTCCATATTTCTATTTGAAAGAATCTAGATGAGATAATGATAATATGTTTAGTATATTTTCTTTTTTAGCTAATATTTTCTCCCCTTAAGTTGAGAAACCTTGATTAATTGATTATTAACTCATCAAATATAATAAATCTCCTGATTCCATTTGTTTTTTTTATAAAACTTTCTTTTGTTTCATTTTAAAACAAACAAGGAGAAGGGGTTTTTCACCTAACATTTATTCCCAACTATTTAAACATTCATGAATTTTACTTTCTATGCATGTATACTTTGTTCATATTACAAAGATGATTGTCAAAATTAATATTAATCATTTATAATAACTTTTGTATAAAATTAAAAACTATAAATTCGGACTAAGGAATCATTCTCAAATTCAAACATGGAACAAATATATATTTCCTTGCCTCAAAAGACACATAAAATGAATTTAATTTCAATATATATATATATATATATCATTATTAATGTCTAGAACTTGTGCAAATAATATTCATGCTTCATATATTTATATTAGCAAATACGTTGGCACAATATATCAATATCTCAATTTATGACTAGTAATGACTTTTTGGTTTATTTGGTTTCATATCACTCTTTGAACACTTAATAATATCATGATATCAAATGTTTATAATAATTTCTCTCTCACAAATTGATCACAATAAATTTAATTATCAATAAAAATTAAATAACATATAGCCTCTAGGAACATATAGTTATCCATTTTTTTAATAATATATCATGTTTTTTTGCTGGCTTCATAACCAATTTTAACCTTTACTTTCAATGAATTGACACATCTTTGTATATATGGCTACTGGCCAACATTTGCTCACAATTTTAATCACCACAAAAATATTATTATTTTAACAATTATGGAAAGAAAAAATTTTCAATAGCCATGACAAAATATTATCGCCTTTTCAATTGTCAATTTCTACAATATAATGTAATCATAGTCATTATCACTCTCATAGGAATATTTCATGCTTTCAATTGTGCATCATCAATTTCTTCACACATTAGTCTTCAAGACCCTACAAAAAATTCTCAAAACTACAAGCTCTTTTGTGCTATTTGATGTTTGAATTAATGGCCTTCAAAGCTTTGATATTTGTTTTAGGCAAAGAAGAAAAAGAAAAAAAAGGCTTTGATATTTGTAACCAATGGATAATCAAAGCCCCACAAATTTAAGTTTTCAAGACAATTACTTTTCAATGATGTGATTCTTTGTAAGCTATTAACTAGTCTTAAGGACTATAGCAAAAATATTTTCCATACTATCAAAACCTTTTGGTGCCATGGAATGTTTGGATTATTGGCTTTTAAAACTAAATTTTTTGTAGCAACAATACTTTTCATAATATGTATTGGAACCATAAAGTGATCTTTTACAACAAATCATTATCAAAAGTGATATGGCTTTTGACTATCTAATCAGAAGATTAAAAATAACATGTTTACTAGCTATCAACTAACATGAATTTAAATTGTCAATAGATATCAAAATGATTTATCACAAACCTATAAGAATAAAAATTAAATTTTTAAATCCTTAAATATAAAATATAAGAAGGGCAAAAAGTAAGAAGATAAGGTATATTCGTATACCTCAATATGAATATCTAATAAGATATGAATAAGTAAAATTCATATCTTCTTTGAAATTCACTCCAAATGAATTTGCAAATTTTTACCACTCTATATGGATAAACCATCTCTTTGCCACGAACAAAATTCAACGAGTATTAATAAGAAATTCTTCAAATTTATGCCATGAACTTAGTTCGTTAGAGTTGTGTGCTAATAATGTATTATGAAAATATGAAAAAATAGAGTAGGATAAGAGAATAACAAGATAAGAAGAATTAAGAGAGGAAATAAGAGAGTATATTATATTTACTTGGATGCCTAATATTTTGTACATAATATTTATTTATAGGTCCTCCACCATTAAAACATAACCTTAATATTATAAATGAATAAAGAAGGATATAATAGCATGTAATATTTGGAGATTATAGGGCATTAACATAAATAAACTTCTAAATTATTCATTAGGAGATTATGGGAGATAAAGAATCCTAAGCATTAGAAGTTATGGTCATCCACTCATATAATCATATAATATTCATAATATAACTAAATTCGTTTTTAACAACATAAAAGTAATAATTCAAAGGGAATTTATATTTGGGAGAATTGGTAAAAGACACTTCCTTGAGAGAGAAATTATGCCTATGGACTAAAGCAAATTGAAGGAACAAGCTTAATACTTTATTCATTAAAGAATTTAAATAAACGATCAAAATATCCCTATTTTAATTAAAAAAATGTACAAAATCTAACTACTAGAGGTTTAGCCCTTCCTTTAATAGGTGATGGTGCATCCATTGGAGTTCCAACTGATTAGTGAAGGGTCACCGAAAAAAGTTAGTACCCATTGGTTATATATAACTATCAAAGATTACATGTAAACTCAATGATTAAAAGGTACAAGGATTTTGAATTAAGGTACAAAGATTTCAACTTAAGGTATAAAGGTTCTGGCTTATTGTGAAAAGTGCAAAGGTTTTGACTTAGGTATAAGAGATTTAGCTTAAAGTGCAAGAGTTCTTGCTTGGGTGTAAGGGATTTAGCTTAGGGTATAAGGTATAAGAGTT